AATTAGTGTATTCCAGACTCATAAGTAAACACCTGCCACTGTTTAGCTGCTACAATAGCGCCATCAGCAATCAGTTGGGTCACCAATAAATAGATAAAATGGAATATATGCACACAAATACAGTGTTTCCTGCGTCATAAATAAGATCATTGCCAATATTACCTGCGAAATGATGAGTGCAAATCTGCAGCAAGAGTTATTCATACAGTAATCACAGGAAAACAATGCAACAAACTTGTATTTCTAACATCCTGGTCAGAATAGCATAATGCCACTGAAAGAACATGCAGACAACATGGTCCTGCCCATTACCTATAGATTAAAAAAACAAACAAAGACCTCTTTGGCAGAGGGAATGTTTACAACTGCACTAAGCAGGTGCTTCTCACACATTTTTATTCCACCTTGCACCTTCTGTTGTAAATCAGGTTTTAAAAAGCAGAGAGCAGCACTGTGATCTTATGTCAAGAATGAGAGATGTTTGTTTAATGGGCCTTTAAATTGTTTGGTTTAGAAAATACGTCTACCACTGCCAACACAATAACTTCCCACCATATTTTTTTAACTTGCTCTGGCTTCATGCAACCAGAAAAAAAAAAAAAAAAGGAAAAAAAAAGGAAAAACAGATAACAGTATAAATAACAATAAAGCTCAGCTTGTTTGCATTTTACTGAACCACTGCCTCCTAGTTTCTTTGTAGTCAGCTTGTGGTTGCAATCAGGTTTTGGAATATGCCCTTTTCAACAATTCAAGAACAAGAAAAAACACTGATTGTACCACTCAGATCTTGAACAGATGCTCTATTTCACTTAGTGCAGCTTTGAGGTTAGAATGAAACGTGGGTGCTAAAGCTCTGAATCTAGAACATGGTTAGGAGTCTTAGGCACATGGGTTTTGCATTTCACTGTCTTGGATTCTCTCAAGGCTCCTTTAAGAAAGTCAGCTGGTTTTTAATAGTTACTTGAAATGCACTGCTTAAAGCACATCAATTTATCTTGCTCAACTATGTGATGTATATGTCTCAAACACTGTTATAGATCTGATGAAATATAGTTTATTATGTATCTGTTTCATTTTTAGAGATCTTTTTTCCACGTTTCTAGGTAGACTGATGCAAATATTGGAGTCCAATTAACTTTTGTTTTCTTGTCAGGTCACAACTGAAATAGTTTTCAGCTTTTCAACAGTTTTGCACATTTTTTCCCTGTTAGGTCCATTTTTCAGGCCTCTAAAACACAGGAAAGTTTTAAATATAATTTGTTCTTAATGGCAGAACAACTTTTTCTATTGCCTGTGGATGCATCTATGCAAATTTGCTCCAGTGACAGCAATAATAGTGAGCCATTTCAGGTCACAAAACCACTCAGGATCTGACTAGGAAAAAAAAAAAAGAAATTGTTTCTGAGGACCTGTTGCACCTACTAGTTTTCCTTAAAAGATATAAAATTAATGTGCTGATTAAATTAGAAATTAGACTAATTATAGAAAATTCCAGAAGCCCTTGGATAGCCAGAAATTCCCTAAAGCTAACAGCAGGTGATGCTATTTATACTTTGCTGTTATAAATTATAAAACATTTCAGAAAGTAAGTGGGGCTTGAGTGGTAATACGCTGATTAAACTGAAATTGAATGGAAGAAGTAAACCCCCCTCCCTCACTGATCTGTAACCAAGGCTTCTGGTTTCAAAAGACTGAGAAGGTTGATGAACCAGTTAGTAAAACCAGTTGGACTTTTCAGGTGTTTCAGTTCTTTCCTTTTCAGGTAAGAAATTACAGACAGTCTACCTAAGCTTTCTCCACTTGATATCCCCTCAAAGCACACAGATTAGGTAGAATTTATATATTGCACAAGAGAAGAATTACTGAGAAGGACTCCAAGCACAACAGGATTAGTAACAGTGTTTTAAAGAGTACTAAAATGAAACAGAAAGCTTTCAAGAAGTGAAAGAAGGTATTTATACCAGAGAGTAACTGACAATAGGAATTAAGTGAGAATGACCTGAGTCAAGCAGACTTTGCAAAGTAATGAACATAAATAGTAACTGATTATTTGTCCATATGAAATCAAAAGGAGAAAAAAAAAATAAAAGCTGCTGCTATGTAAAGACTGAGAAGCAGAAACTGAAAATAATTTAGATATTTTTCATTAGCTACACTTTGGCTTTCAATAAAAGTCATATTGCCAAACCTGGTGTCAAAGGCAGGATAGCTAACAAAAGGGGTAAGCTTACATAGATCTGAAGTAGGAGAAAAAGGAGCTTGATGAATCTGTGTCAAAACACCAGCTAATGTCTTCCCAAGTTTCGTGAAAAGAACAAGGGCATGAAATAGCAAGTTATTTCATAAGGGTTTAAAAAGTATTTACATTCAGGGAGCCTGAGACATCATTAGAAACTCTGGTTTCATACCTGTATTCAAAGCATGGGGAAGAAGTGAGCAGCTCTTTCCCTTGCTGAATCATCTGACCTTAATAGTACATAAAGCTTCAGGAAAGAAATCTAAAGTAAAGAATTTTGACAAGAGAAATGCAGGAAAAGAAAACAGTGACACAAGCAGAGAGTAAGATAAAATGCAACACAGGTTTGCTAAAGGTAGTAGTTGACAAACTTGACATCCTTCTTTGACAAAATTTTCTAGACAAGGGCAATGCGGCAGATCTTAATTTATTTGGTATTGAGAAAAACAGTGGATTTTGTGTTACACATAGCATTTCTAGTTAAAAGGGAGAAGACGGGTTAGGACTATATAGCTAGTAGCTATAGAAAGCGGCTGAAATACAAAAATTAGTAGGGCTGGCAAGGGTAACTGAAAACACTTTCTCAGTAGATGACTGTGAAACAACCTTTACTTTCATTCAATACCCCTACACACAATAAAGGGGCCTGCTGAAATTTCCTGGAACCAAGGAATTCAGAAAATATTGTCAATGTACAAAAGAATCAAAATACTGAACAGGAGGTGGGACTGTGTCCGCATTAGTGTTTTCATTTGGAGCACTTACTGCCCTCTTGAAGTGAACTTTGAAGAGGCAGTCCAGTTGATAATGGGTCTTTGCTTCACAGGGCCAGTCTGGGCCTCCTGCCAGTTCTCCTCTGACTTCATAGCACAAAGACTTAGGGCATGGGAGTCCTCAGCACAAGCTGTTTCACTTGGTGAATCTGCTCCTGTTGCACAGTGCTACTTGCTAATGCAGACATAGCAGTGGTATCCTTGAGGACTATACTCGCAGAAAATATATGTAACGTATACAATTCCAGGTCATACATCTAAGATTAAGAAAAAAGCCTTCATATTTGGAAATGCCAGAGGGGAAAAGAGGTTCATCAGAAGATGAATTTTGAAACATAAATGTAATACAGTAAATGTGCCTGTGAGGAGAGGGAATGTCAGAGCAGACTACCAGCGAAAGCCCACACCTGCACCTTCGATTGCCTACATGTAACTCCTAAGTTTGGTCTACTATATACTCTGTTCCAGGGCCTCTCCATCCCTCTGCATCTCTCAACCACCACTTCCAAGCAGGACTGAATGAACAATTGCATCTCATCTGCTCAGCTCCCAACAGGATGCACCCAGCAGCCCTAGTCTAACAGAGACTATCATTTGCCCTCTTGAAAGAGAATGGAGAGGGGCACTGCCACTGCTCTGGCCTCCTGGGACAGATGTCAGCTGTGGAGGGAGACTCAGCTTTTCCCGTTGACCACTCAGGTGAGGAGCACGGCAACTCTATTTTGTATGGAGCATGGATCAAATGTGTCTTGTGCATCACTTCACTGCTGGTTGGCTTCCTGACTGCAGATGCCTGCCTGAGATGCTGATGGGTTTTGAGGTTATTTTCCTTGAGCAGAGAGGTCCAGGACTGTCTCCACCCGTCATAGGAGAGGTACTTGTGAAATTTTCTGGTTCAGAGAGGTTCACACCTGCTATCTTCCACCAAAGACCCAGTTTGGGTATCTGGGAATGGTTGATAGCCCATGCTAAATCTTAGTAACAGATTCTGGGGTTAAAAAAACCTGCAACAAACCTTCAATAGCAAAACAAAAAAAACCTCACACCGATAGAAAATACAACATAGATGTAACCAAAAGCTGAAAATACACTGCTACGCCCTTATGCCACCGGAGAGATGGGGAGAAGAAAGGCCTGCATATATGAGAAATGGAAGGCAGTTAAATGTGGTGCACAATTAAAAGGGATCAGCATAGGCCGCCTCCCCAGCCACGCATCCCCTTCCTTCATCTCCTAGTGGTCCTACTCCATTAGCAACAGTAGTAGAAATCTTGTGTTTTTCCGAAGCCCCTGGAATCAGTCTGCAAAAGAGTATCCATTCAGAGCCAGTATTATGAACTATTCAAATTAAGCTGGTAGAGTTATTGTTTTCTAAGTATGATTGAAAGGTATTTAAGAAGGAATTATTTTGATTCCTTAGTCTTGGTTAAGAACTCAGCAGGTGGAAATCTCTCCAAAATCTGCCCTGAATTGTGGAATGTTAAGCTATTTAAATTACATTATGCTCAAAAGCTATAGTACTGGATGACATGGAAAAATCCAGAGAGAGCTAGATCAATCAGAAATTAAGAATTCATATGCCATTTTATAAATTAATGATTTAAGTTCTCATTTATACAAATGCTGTGGTAAACAACAATTATCAGAAACCTCCTAGTGTAGAAGAAACAAAAGGGCCCAACACCATATGTTAGTGACAAAGTAGTTCAAGAAGTGTATTTACTGAAGTTCCTTGGTTTGTGTGGGGGTGTGTGTAATATGTATCATAGACACAGAATTATGTATTATGAGCCAAATTCTGCTCTCAAGCTTCATCAGAAACTTTAAACTGGTACAATGGAAAATGAACACGCTTCCTCCAAAATCTATAAATCTCTTTTGAAATAAAGACAAAAAATAGGAACTAAAAATATTTACCATCTGGAAGGTACATATAGTCAACAAAAGAAAAAAAGATACAAAATAGCTACCTACTCATTAAAGTTGCTTACCTTTTCCATATATGCAGAGCCATCCATCAAAGTTTTCTTTTGGCACCAAGCTTACTTGCATATAATGGAGATGGTCCTTCTGTATTGCCCTGAAGAGAACTGGGTGGAAGGAAAAGTCCTTTTAAATAAATAAACAAATAAATCAGAGGGGAAAAGGTGTTTCCAATTCTTGTGTCAGCAGTGCAGGATCAGCTAGCTGAAGGGTCAACACAGGAGTGAGTGGGGAAGATAGAGGTTGAGTGAGAAGAAGGGACTTTTCGATCCAAGTTCACTGCTAAAAGGTTGTGTTATGTACATATGCACTCAACGTCTAAAACAAAAGAGTAGCTAAAGTTCTACAAACTAAATAAACCTTTCCTCTCCCATTTCTTCCTACTTTAGTGTTTAGTGCCAGATGAGAACTAAAGGCCTAGGCAGGAAATATCCTTAAGCTTCCAGAGGTAGAGCCAGATGTACTGAAGAACTTTGTCCTTTGTTTTTCTGATAAAATGCTTCTATAACAATATTATGGAAGCATTTAGTTACTCCCTATGCTTGAAGTCTAACAGTTTCGAAATCACAATGCTCTTAAAAGGAAGCACTGTTGTTTCAGTTATTTACCACAATAATTCAAACAGCTTTAAAAATACATGCTTCATTTTGCATAATATGTTTAAGGCCACAGTCAAGGAAAAAAAATAAAATGAAATATATCCCCATTTCCCAGAAAAAAATTAACAAAGCTGAAGTGTCCCTTTCTTCCCTTCCAGGCTTGCAACAAATCAGGGGCATTGCGTGAGAAATTATTATGGATAACTAGGGAAATAACTAGGAAGTTACTAAAATGCTATTTTATTATGTCTAAAACAATCCAGATTTAAACTGATGTTAAAAAACAAATCTGTTGCTGCACCTTACAATTTATCTCTCTGTTCACTATTTTGAATAAATGCAGGAAAACCCAGAGTGAACAAAAAGTGTGTTGCTGCTTCTACAACAGGGGGCTTGAAAATGTCAATAGTGAATTTTAGTAAAACAAGCTGTGAGCCAATCCTTCTGTCTTGTTATCCAAGGCTAAAGAGACAGAGCAGAGTGAATATGCTGTTTTTCTTCTACACTACTAGAGACACACAGCATCTAGTGGAAACGGACTTTTATGCTCTCTCTGTGGTTTAGCCTACTGCTACTTGCAGTTCCCATGAAATCAAATGATTTCTCCATTACACTCACTTCCATAGGAGCTGCTTACAGTGCAGTACACAAAGACTGATATCATATTAATCATAGGCAATCTGGAGGAAATAAACCCAGTAAAACAGACCTGATCGGTAGATCTGAATGGCCTGTTATGGACTGCACATATTCCTACTTGGGGACACCAGCTGAAATCAAGCAAAAATACATGGAGTTTGTATCTCATGACATTGGAAAAAATATATGCCATAATCTCAGCATATCAGAAAGTATGTGCACACAAATACATACACACATCAACTGCGTACTGGCAAGCATTCTAACTAACCTGGCAGGGAGAAGGTTTCTTCAGAGATAAAGAGATGAATAGAGACAGAGCAGTAAATACTGTTGTCAACTCTTGAAGTAGATCATGTCTGGGATACATTAGAGGATAGTAAGGAAATGGGTTTGAAGAAAAAAAACTATCAGGTACAGGTAGACCCTAACTCCAAGGAATGTTCATCTAATGGACAGTTACTCAATGTTTATCAAGTTCCCATGGGCAGTTTTACAGGTGTTCACTGAATGTGAGAAAACAGCAGGTTTGGGTCAGTAATGAGTTTTAGTGTCGCTTTCTCATGTTTTATAATGCAGCATCCTTACTTCTTATGGAGATGAGAACAACCAATCAAGAACAAGTTGTTTAAGAGATACCAGATGTTTCATATCTTACTGAGATGACGGCAGTATTAGTTTATGGTCTGGGTGTAATCTGGAGTCTACCCCTAGAATTTCCCTGAGCAAAGTTAAATAGTTGTATTTCAATGTAGTTGTGCTAGATTACAACATGATTTTGTTTTATTCTGTAGACAGACAGGATCTTCACTTTGTATCATCTTCTGGAAGCTAGCTTCACACTGTAAACTGTTATTTTCTTATGCTTTACAATAAAGAACCAAGAACATAATCCAAACCCCAAAAGAATCCACCTCCTGAACACCCCCCCCCCCTCCCCCAGCATTTATTATTCTAGCTTCATGTGAGTTTTGCTAGGATAATTTCTATAGTCAAGCCTTATGAACTACATGAGATTTAGACTGGAACACCATTTTTATCCCTGCATCCAAATGCTCATACTCACAAAAATAGCCAAAGCACTTTCGGTAGAACTTTTTAGCTCCACATGAAGGCACTAAATGAATTACAGTATACACTGTATTCAATAACAGTGAATACTTCAAAGCTTCCTAATAACTAGGGCATGAATGTAAAATGTGTTGCTCTGCACATCTAAGAGTTTTCCCCTTTCTCATCATGTTCTTTGAAAAGGTGGCTTTATTCAGATTTTTGTGACTGTTCTTGTTCTACAAAAGCACTTTTAGGATTTTATTGAGGTTTACATACACCAGTGTTCAAGACGAAAGGCTTTCATGTCAATTATTAATAACAAAATCTTTCATCTGTCTATTTAAAAAAATAAAAACATGATCCTTTTTTTCCTCAGTTTGATGTTTAATTTAGAATGAAAATCAAAACTCTTTAAAAAAGTTTTCCTCACTATCACAAGGGAAACGATGATGTTTTTAAGAATTCTCTCTATGAAGATAATGCCAGCTAAAAATAAAATAGAAAATAATAAAATAAAAGGCTTAATCCTTTTTGAAAAATGTTGAGCATACTTAATGATTTCAACAGGAGTAGAAAGGAACTCAGGATCTCATGGAATCAGAACACAAAAATGCTGTTTCTACTAACGCACTTGGGGATAAACAGTACATTGGTTTAGAAAGTGACCCAACAGGGACTTCCAGAGCTGTAAAAAAATTAATTCTTTATATAAAGAAAACCCTGTCTGGTTTAACATCTATTCCTCCAAAACATTCCAACAAGGCCTCAGACCAGCAATGTATTACCACTGTGCATGAGAGTTTGCCCTTTGATGACCTGGATGTCCTGGTGTCCTTGCTCATTTTGTGGCGTATTTTCTCACGTACAGACCCCTAGGTCTATAGTACATGGAATTGAAGTCACTGGTGCTCTGCAAGAGTAATTTTATAGACCTTCTTGTGTCATTGCTGCCTACATGCCATTTCAGGTCTCTGTTTAGGACCTCTGTCAGATTTTACAGGCCACTTAACATTCTAATTTTAACATGACATTTCATTCGTTTTTATTTCTGGAGCACTAACTGCTACAGAAAAGTCCTCCTCTCCAAAAACAATGATCAGGTAAGTGTCACTTCACACATACTCCCCTCCAAAATTTCTGATAGCTCTACCAAATTTTGTATTTGGAGTTTGAAATGAAAGGATTTCTTTCGAGACAACAGTACTTGCAGTTCCTAGATTTTCTTTTACAAAGTTCTTGCCCTTCTAATTACATTTGTGTTTCAATTAAGATTTGGTGTTTCTAACACATGCTTCATAATTTAATTTTGAGTTACAGATGTACCTTTAAGTACTTTCATACATCTTCAAAAAAATAGAAGTGCTAGAACAAGCTGCGTAACATAAAATCAGGTTCTTACATATTGTTGTGAGCACATCTTGCTGTGGTCTCTCAACAGGTTTAGGAATCACACATATTAAAGTGTTTTGCTGCTACAATATATCCTGACTTCAGTTTTCTTTCTCTTCCTCTTGCCTTCAGGACCAGAGAGTCGGTGTCTTTTTGGGAAGCAAAAGAAAACAAAGAAAGAATAACAATCCTGTGACCACTGATCTCAAATAGATGTTGAGTTCAGAGTGCAGGAGCTCTGCTCTTGGGACAGTGAAATTTGCCTATGCACACACATTTCTCATATGAACCACTATGGCATGAGTGGTAGAAATCTATATGAAGTTCTTAGTGTCATTTTGATTGGTTGTGCTCCCATTAAGCTGAGGGGAAATGACTGTTAAAATCAGGGGGGCTACCTGCAGAATTATTCCAAATGCCAATTGCAGCCATTTGTGGACACTTGTGTGAACCACTTTTAATTTATTTTGTTCTTAAAAACATCCTTTAGCCTAAATCTGTAAGAACAGGACTAGGTCTTCAGTTACAGAATTGTTCGCAGTACAAAGAATAGCAACACACATCTTGGACCTCATCTTGATGAAGTGTCAGTAGACTTATTTAAAAAACTAAAAGATGGTAAAAAATAAATGCCCCCAAATACAATTTTCCAGAAACTTTTCCTCTGCCCAATGCTGCACTTCGGAGTGGTTCCACACTACTTTCTCAGTAGTCAATTTTATACTTTGATTGCCTTCAACTAGCAGCTCCTATTGCCCATAGAAGCTGAATTCTTTCCATGGCCTTCTCAAAAAAAGTACATGAGCCTTTAAAAAGTTTCAGAGTCATTCCAAAATGCTATTTAAAAACTCCATGAGAACAAGCACATATTGTGCATCTGACAGTGGAGATAGAAGAAAGATACAAAAGCAGCAATAGCCAGTTTAGGTCCGATGACTGGGAGTAAAATATTCAAATTCCCATTTCAAATTCAATACTTCTTAATCATATAATGTTATAGCCACATAACATGTTATATCCACTCTTATACCTTAGTTTTTCCCAATATATACTGAAGGCAGCAATACCCCCATTTCTGAAAAGGTTTGAGAGTTTTGTACAAAAATCACCAGGTAAGAATAAATAATCATGAATTTGGGTTATTAAAGAGCTTAAGGGGCTCTCTTTCTCACATGACTGATGTTTGCCTTGGGAAGAAAATTAAGTCTGTGGGCAAGAGTTTGCTTTCTATTACTTTTTTTTGCCTTTAATTGCACACTCAACTGCTCCTTACTTTTCTTCTTCTGATTAAGCTATTGCTAATCTGGAAATCTTAACCAGATTCTTAAGTGAAATAAACCACTCACCTTTTTATTTGACAGTGTTGGAACTCTCTCATTGTATTTGGAGGTACATTAAACCCCTGTTCTTGTTTTCCTTCCTTCCCTTTCTGCCACCCAAATGAAGAAGCTAATCCTGTTTTACTTTTCCTGAGTGTGATTCATCTGCTCTAATTTAGGCACCATCTGCCCAAGGTCTGAGGCAGGTACCCTCCATTCCCTTTACTATAAATACAGAGAAACCAGCCTCTCCAGAGAGCAATTTATCTTATCCCAAGATGTGGGTGTCTAAAATAGGTCAGAAAAATCACACTCTGGAGATACCTATTGTGTTTCCATGACTATTAAGGGAGCCTTAGGAGACTTGCTCAAACTTGGGCACATAATTTTAGGCAACCCACCCAGAATATCCACAAGAGCTGTTAAAATGATCACATGGTAGTTGATTACCTAACTATAATTCTCACTTCAAGCTGATACAATCTAAATGGACCTAATAGTACTTCCTGCATCTCACAGCACCTAGAAAGCCTGGCATAGGTGGTCATAGTTAGCAACTGTGAATTTGATGCCTGACATTAACCAGGAAATAATAGTTACATTGTAAGCTTCAAGAGCCATTAGATGAACTCAACTCAGTCATCATCAATCAAACATACCTCGTTTTTACAGCCCATACATTGGGCCACCATGCACGAAGAGGTGATGCTAAAATGTGCCACTGAGCATCTCTGTTCCTGTAATGACAAGTTCCTTATTTCTAATTGTAGTAAATTAGTTACTATTGATTCACAAACAGCTTGCTTGTCCCAAACTAATCATTAACCTTCCTGCAAGGTAGGAAGGTTCCCTATCAAAGGAAATCAATTTTAGATTTGGGGCCTCACTTAAAAAAGCAAAACCAAAAAAAACCCTAAACACACAAAAAAAGTGGAAGTTTAGGGTTTCTCATGATTGCTTGTAAGTTCGATTAGAGGTACTTTTGTCAAAGTCATAAAGATGTAAGATTTATTTTTTCCTACAAATAACTCTGAAGCACAATACACAGATTTCCCCAGCACGTGGGTAATCATCACTGTAACCATCACTGAAATGCAACTGTCTCACAGGAGACTGGTACATGTTTCACAGCATACTGCAAAAGCACATAACAGCTTAGGACAAGAATTAGGGAAACATATTGAGCTGCTGACACTCCTTCCCAAGAAACTTTGGTTTATATGGTATTAGCAGAGGGCTCAAGTGAGAAGATAAATTAACAAGGAAGCTGCCAACAAATTTAAAAGAAAAGAAAAAAACAGCATTTCTGTATGAAAAAGCTTATTGGTACTTCCAGAAAGCTGCCTGAATTTGTCCTCCCCTTGAGTTTTCCTCTCCTGCAATCCCGTTGCTAACACAATCACTTCATATTTTGAATATTACAGTTACTTCAATTACTCTCTGACTAAATTCCAACTCTTTGGACTTCAAGCATTGAAGGTACTGAAGGTAAACTATATACTGCCCTAGAAAGGGACTATATTTTCAGCAGCACTAATTTTCTTTACTCATAAAGCAGGCATAAGTTAAATTCAATGTGGCACCACCACCCTCCCCCCAACAAACAATTGCCCTGTTTTGAACTCATATCACATTTTGCTCATTATTTCCTTATTTTTTAGCTTCAACCTTCAATCTTAGCAGCTGTCCCTAACAACCTCATCCATAGCTTGTCCCGCCTTTTCATCCCACACAACCATCACAGATCCAAAACACAAAAGAAAGTTTTTTCTCTCAGTAATACCTTTCAAGAGGCCTTACACTTCTAAGTCACTCCAGTTCTTGAAAATCTGACTTTGTATCTTCTCCCTTTGGGGACAATATATTCCCTGTTAAGATATAAAAAGGTGAAGTATAAAAAAATTAAGAGTACTTACAAGAGTGAAAGAGCACAGCTAGCACTCCAGCTGCTAAGGAGCCACTTAAGTTACAGCTACCCACCTCTCCCAAATGTAAAGCATTAGCCTGAAAGGGGGGTGGAGGGAAGGTTTTCTTCTCTTTAGCAAAGATGAATAGGAAACATTTATGCTTAAAGGAATGTGTTGGGTTTTTTTTATAAACTGTTATTTTTTCTGTATTGAATGACAGAAACTGTTGAGCTCTTCTGCTGACAGTCTTTCCCTTTGTTTTATATAATTTCCCAAGTCAACAACACTTTGTGGCAACATACACAGCTGAGATCCTCTATAATAATGTGCATATTCAAATTCTTAATATTTTTATGGGAAATTAATATTATTTTTTAAGCCAATATTTTATTCAAAGAATCAGGAGCATGCAGGAAATTTGCACCCAAATGGCAGCATAGGACACTATTATTTTTTATAAGAAACAAAATAATTAATAGACTAACAGTCAATAAAGCTCAGAATTCACAAATTTAAATGGCATTTGTGTATAGATATTTGGTAACCAGTTGTATAAATATTTCCCTTGCACACCTACTTCTTAATTTACTGTGCTTAGATCTAAGGGTACATCCTTGTCTAGAGTCAGCAATAATTTCCAATTTATATTTTAAATCAGTAAAATTGGACTAGAAAGATGGTAGCAAAGAATAAAATTACCCCAATAGATTTACCTCTCAGGCCAATAATGGAACTGGGAATAAAAGCAAGTTCTTCTGATCAGTGTTTAGTGTCCTTATCACAGAAGCAACTTTAATTTTAATCAAAGTTGTTGGAAAACAGAGAAGCACTTTGAGCAGAGAGAGTCTAAAATTTGTGTCTCATCTGAGTGCAAAAATGCAGTCAGATTTATGGCTTTGTATAGCCACCATACTTGACAACAGAGGCTTGTATGCTTGTTATATACAAATTATTATTGTGATTATTGGTAAATGATGTTTTCTTACCTGAATCTTAGGGAACCAAACTGAGCTGGGTGCAAAAGCACAAGGGCTACAGCCTGCATCAAAGGTATAGTCACCCTGACTAGCATAGTAAAAACTGTTTAGGTCAAACCACAGAAGTACTCAAAAATCAACACTGCCCTGAATGTTAAATGAGGCTAAAACCAATAGTTTGCCTGAACTTTGTTCGTAAATTCAAATTGCCAACAGCAGCAACGCTAGCTCTCACTGTTTTCTTTGGGACTGTTGTGATATTTGTTGTTCTTCTTAAAGTTCCAGCAGCTGTGGTAAAGGGATTAGGTGATGATCTTCACTTTCTTCTAAAATAAAAGTAACTTTCTCAGAGTTAAGGAAATGTTTCTAAAATGTAGAATGTGTATGGAAGGCCACAGTTTAGTTCTTCCTGTGCTCCAGATTAGCCAGACACAAACCAGCTCCGAAGTAAGAGTGCTGTTTAGCCTGTTTTACTAACACCTGCTAAGGTGTAAGAGCTCAAGCTGTCCCACTATTCAGATTTTTGCAGATCCACTTGCCTGTGTCCTGCTGGCCTAAAGCATAGGCAGAGCAAATTCGTATTTACCCATTAGTACATATTTGCTCCATTCTCGTTATTTTCTTGCCATGTGAGATGTGTGGGATGCAGGATGTTTCTATAGTCTAAGAGGTTGTGAAAACACACCTGATACTGCATACGAGCAAACTTTCCAGTGCTGTCCTTTCCATGTAATGCTCATAGATTGCTGTAAAAGTAAAATGGAGGGTACAGTTCAATTTTTCATCTTGCAATTTTGATGCACTTGCACTTTTAGTGGGACTACAACACAGTCACTTTTTGAAACCTAAGCAATTGAGGGGAAGATTTTTGGCTGTCTTTTAATACGCAGTCCAAAAAATGCTGTTCATATAATGCACAAGCAATATAAAGACAAGAGTAAACATCCCAAAATATTCTTTATGAGAAGTCACATGTGCAAAACTTGCTCTTATTAATTTTGTAAGGACTGGCTAGGAAAAGAAAGGAAGGAAAAGAAGTTAAGGTCTGCAGACAATCAATTGAAAGAGGAACAAAGAATATCTTCATATATTTTCTACTTTGCTTGGTGTTTTCCTGCAAGGACCCATCTGAATCTGGATAGTTTTGTTTATTATGCTTCTATAGTGAAGTGTATTTAGCATATACAAATAAGCCTTATCCATTAAAAACTTTTGTTTCTGTTATTGTTTGAATCTATTTTAAAAGTTTTAAAATATGAGAGAAATCAAGTTCAGGAGTCAAATTCTAAACATTTGTTTGATCTTGTGTTCTGTGACTTCTCTTGCTCCCACAAAAAAACTATGACTCCAGTGAAATCACACTGGGTTTCTGTCTTTGTAAGCAGTTACGTATTGATTCCTACATGAATTGTAGCATGTACGTTAAATACGATCCGCCCTGCAAATCTTGCCTTAAAGTTATTCATGTTCAAGGGACTATTATCAAAACAGTCAGAATTCTCAAAGTTCAAGTTCTAATTTTCCTAGTGTTTGGAAGAACCATATTTTTTACCAATACCTGTAAATTAAATCCCATTTCTGATTTTCATATATAGCTTCATCCTGGCACATACACAAATCTATCTTTCAAATACTTTCTGCTTTTGATAACCCAAAGGAAATAAACCAGGTAATGTACAGAGTAGATTTTTACCTGCTGCTCTGAGGCCAGATGTGAATATAACGAACACTAGGAAAACACAATTCTAATTTTGCTGAACCACAAGACTAGAAATTAAACAAGAATCCCCACTCAGAGAGAACAGGCTTCCTTTTGGAACATGAAGGGAAGATGTATGAGGTAAGGAAAGTATATTTGGGTGTTGGATGCCTTGATTTTACTCTTTTTTCTTTTTTTTTTTTCTTTATGAAATAACAAACTATATGGCTTGAAATCTCAGCAAGTTAGGCTCACAAATATTACTGAAGTGTTACAGCTCCCCCTGCCAGGTTTAGGTTACAAACTGCATTTCACACACATACACACAAATGCACACTCTCAAGAAATAGATTAGCACCTATGCTAGCACTTACTGTCACTGATTTACTCTTCAGTAATTATTACAGCAAAAGAAAAAATGCATGCATTTGATAAACAATGTATGTTAAAGTAATTTTAGGAAACTTACAAAGAAGTAGATGTTAGTATTAATTTGCATTCAATGCGCACAGGAGAAATACCAAATTATTCCCAGCAGAAAGGGAGGAACGAACTAAGTACAAAAGCTTATTTCTGCTTTAATTTACTGTTTACTTTTCAACCTTCTATAAAATTAACCTATTTTTTTCTTAAACATTTTCATTTCATGAATGATAGTTGTAGTCTAAAACTGCTGTCTGCTGACAACCTAGAACCAAACCCGCTCTATGTTGCACCATGTTTGGTTCATTTTTGGCTTCAGCAAAGCTGGTGATAGAAGCTTTAGCTTTCAAAAGCCTGTGCATGTGACTGATGTGAGGAAATCCTACAAGATGGTTTTGAAAGTCAAGCTATTCAACTAAAACTGTATATGAAAGGGTAGAACTCAAATCTGTCATGAAGCCCCTAATCTTAAAACAAATACTTGGTAACTCTATAGACAACAGGCAAACATGCAGGATATAGAAACCTAAGAAGATCAAATCTCTCTTTCCAAAAACACTCATTAACAAAATCTTGCAGGGAACAAATAAAAGGTAAGTAAACCCACACATTTTATAGGTAATTAAATTAAGAAAAGCTATTCATTTAAAAGTATAGGGTACTCTAATCTAATTTCATGTTATGTCTTTGGTATATAGTGGAGCTCCACAGCATAATCTGAATCACATGAAAAACTATCTTCAGAGTAAGCTTCATTTAAATTTAAATAGTGATAATTTCAAGTAATGTAGCCTACATGGGACACAGTAAGTAAAACACCAGACTGAAACTCAAAACATGGGATATTTTTTCAACTGTGGGATTTGTGTTCTGAATTATCTTGCAAATTTCTGTTTTGGTTTCTTCTACAAAAAAGATATAAATGCTAACAACTACATATAAATCTTGAAAATACGTGTGAAAGTTTCTCATAGTAATAATATGTACTTATTAAAGAAAAAGAAAAAAAATGTCACCATCCTCTGCTTCTCATCGCATGCTCTCCTTAGTTTATGCATTAAATTAGATCCAGCAAAATGCTTGATAATCTTACAGTTAATTTACAATGAGCCAATCAGGCATCCTTCACTATTAATGCAAATGAATGAATGTTTTACTATTGGCTGTTTATACTATAGCCAGTTCGAAGTTTTCAGAGACTATAAATTAGGCCCCATGGAAATCATTGACTTGTTTAGGCATTAGAAAAACAAGTTCTACGAGTTTTTGCATTTTCAGCTTTTGCTAAGTCACTTATTTGAGATGCTTTTCATAATCATGACAAGAGATAAGATTTCCCAGTGAGTTCACCATATCCTGAAATTCAAAGTGTTATTCT